GATCTATTCAGTCTTATCCAACTATGTTCACTGGATTCACAACATGTTGGCCAAGGGAAAAAAAAACCCTAGGCATACTTTACCCAGCTAAAAACGCATTAGGCATATGACTATATCCAATAGTCATGGCAACTCCAAGTAGTGCTGGATGTCCATTGATTGGCTCCTTTTTGTTCTCATAATATGTATAATAATAATAATTAATACTTGACATAAAGTATTATAAATTTAGCTTTATTGTACATAGCACTCGATTGCTTAAGAAAGTTATCACCTTTAATAGAAAAGGAGTTTACATTTTTTTTTCTATAGATAGTGTAATTATAGACATTCATTATCAGTGCATTGATAATCATTATCATTATACAAAATAGCATGTTTGTTATCAGTGTATAGATAACCATCATTATACAGAGCAAATGTTCATTGTCAGCTTATACATGCATATATACATTTCACAATACTGTGCAAACTCCTGCATGGGGTTTGAATAACACCACATGAGCAGAATACACATGAAGTCCAAAAGGCCTTTACAACTCCAGTTCTAAAATTTACCTCCTTGAGGACCAGAGAAGGTGGAGCAATGTTAAAAAACTGCCTTCTACTACCACCGTATCAAACCGTAAGCATATAAACATTTACCTGGCCATAAAATTCCCCACTATCTTTTACTGCTGATGTGATAGTTCGCTTTCAATGTGGAGTTATCTGATTTGCAGTATGTGGGAAACCCCCATATTTATTTGAAGGTCAAAAACTCCCCTACTGCAGACTCATGAAGGAACATCATGACCTCCGACCTAAAGGTATTAAGTATTGGTATATAGTTTTTATTGTGCACTTTAATAAGTAGGATTACTGTATCAGAGGTTCTTCTGAAATGACCTTGTTACAGGGAATGCTTGGTCCTCTGCAGGATGCATTTTTTTTTTTTTTAGTTTGTATAAATTTTTATTAGTTTTTTATCACAAAATACATAAAAATCATTTACATACAACACACTCAACATAGGTATTGGTTTGGGACAAGTTACACAATAAAAGAAACATACAGTCTATCAAACAATACAAAGTATCTTAATATACTAAAAAAACAAAAAACAGATAATAACCTGTACCCTTCACCCATCTACCCGGGGGGTGCTCTACCCAACTCATCTCCAATCTCCCCATTATCCTATATTAGAGGCATACTCCAACTCCACATATTGATCGTCATCTGCATCCATATCCTAGAAAAGAGGCCCTATAACATATAACCCTCTTCTGTACGGCAGATAGAGGCACTCTATATAGATAGGAATGAGGAGATATGCCAAGAGCTGTATAATGGATAACCCGGGGAGATGGAATAAGTCCGTTCTAAACCCTCAATACCCGTGTTTAGCAAACACACACATTGTGGGGATATTTATGGGATAATAATAGTAACAGTTGAGAATTGCCCACTAATTAAATTCTCAGATCCCAAAGAACGTTTATCGTGTTAAGTGGAATGTATTTCATATAATAATATCACAATGTATAAAAATAGATTTTTATTTATAATGACAAATTAATAATAATATTATATGTAACATGCATGACAATAATCAATGAATATTCAGTATAAAATGATATGCAATACAAAGGAATGGGTATTACGTTTCAATGGCTAAACGGCATTATCTGTCAAGACTTCTACGATTTATGACTAGCTTTCACAGACTGAAAGTGAAACTTTTCACAGGGAAGAACAGAATTCCTCAGAATGCAGCGTAAGGTCGTAAAGTTTAGCAGACAGTTAGAATAACCCTTTCAATGCTGGCTAGATCTCCTAGGTAGTTAAGATCTATTCTTATGTAATTTTAAATAAAATAACATTTAACCCAGTTCATTAGTCGTTTCCTGAAACCATCCAATAAGAGAATCTAACATATTATATAAGCAGATTTTTAATTTGTCTAAAAGATATCTATCTTAATTTAGAGCAAATCAATACACCTGGATAAAAACAGCGGTATGCTAACACGTGATAATATCACATCAATATATAATTATTCTTAATTCCACCTGCAGAATGGAATGTTTATAACTATATATTCTTTAGTTAACTAAGATTTCTTAATATGGAAATCTGACCGTGCTTTATCCAGTCATATATAATGCTTTTAATACATTTTAGTTAATTTAATTAATTAAATGAAACCAGTATAATTACCAGTTGAGTAGATATTTAATCCGATTGGTAGTCTCAGGAACTTATTTGGATGTCTCTCTCTGCATGGAGGTTGGAGTCCCCAAACTTCCAATTCCTCTCTCCTCTTTTTCTTTGCATATCTCTTGGATCTGCCTCTCCTCTCTCTCTTCCCTTTGTCTTAACTTTTAAAGGGCCAGACTCTCTGGACGTCATCAGTTGATAACCCAATAGAAGCACTAGAGGTGTGGTTATCTTCCAGATCGCAATTTAGGTATTTAGTCTATAGAGGGCAATCTTGTCCCACTAAACATACCTATCCAGGAAAGAGTTAACTTTTCCTGGTGGCTATTTTGACGTCATTTTGGCCTATCTAGATAGTGGCTATAACTTACGTATCCTTCAAAGATCAAAGGGTTTCTTAAATTTTGTCCAGACTATGTGTCTGGCAAATCTGCTATAATTTCTGATATGGCAGATCATGAACTAAGTTTACCCTTTTCCATACAATGGTACCTTATATATATATAGACAGTTAAATTTTATTATTTAATCTTCTCTGTCACAATTGTCTGGGTTTAGATTTGATTATATTCCATTAGCATTAGACAATCTGTCCAACCCCCTTCCTTATCACTTGGCTTGTATATACTATGCATTCCTCAGCTCTGGGAAAGTGGTTAGCTTACAGATAGAAATATAGTGTCTTTTTGTTAACTTGAAATAACAAAATGGAGTCTGGTCTGTTCAGAGTGACTCAGAATATACACTTTTAGTTTCTATCATAGCACAAAATGTCTGCCGATATAAATACTCTGACATAACCCCCCTTTAGTGCATTTCATAGCCAAAATTAATTTAGCTTATGAATAAGCACTATAGAAGTTACCAGACATATTGTGCAATCACATCATTTCTAACATAGGCCCGAGCGTGGAATGAACATTTTTGTATATATTTGTACCTGTAAAAGTTTTAAACTTTACACTTAGTACAATCAACCATAATATCATTATTAACATAGCACATTATTTTCATTTGAAAAATGTCTTTGGGAGTTACATATGGTATGGCCAATAAAAAGCAAATCTCCATACGTTCCAGATCAATTAAGAGAGGTATAGCGCTCCCCATCTCAAAGGCCAGATTTAATTGCATAGGCTCAATTGTCTCTCCATCCACATTGGCAAGCATCGCATGAACAATATCCTTGGATACAAAATACAGAGGTATGCGTCCCCCTGCCAATTCGATCATTCCAGTTTGCACTTCGTCAAGAAAAGCAAGTGTGTGGAACAATATTGGGTCATGCAGAAATAGAAGTTCACGCTTAAATAAGTCATGACTTTGGTGCAACTCAGTGGATTTGGCAATTAACTCCGAATGCAAATTTGTTGTAACAACTGTGTCTTCCACAATAGTTAACACGTCTTGGAGAAGTGTTCTTTGCTGTTGTATCACCTGATGAATATCGTTAATGTGTTGCTTTAGCGCATAGATTTCCATATCCAGCTTTTGGACAGTAATAGAGTTGGCTGCAGACATTCCAGTTGCGACAACTGCACCGACAGTGGCACAAACTAATGCAACAATTATAGCGGTGAGGAACCTTTTGGGTCGGTTGCTCATCGGAATAGAACTGGATACAAATGGTTTCCGGGCTTGCTCCAAGATGTTTCGCACACGGTCCTGTGCTCTTTGGAGGTGCATCTGGTACCAAGTCTGTAACTCAGGAAGCTGCATCGATGAAATGTTGTATGCCTTCTCGATGGAAATCTTGGGGTCCAAGCTGACGAACACACGTCGGGTCAGGATCCTCTTCTCCGTTAAGATGAACCCTGGTGTCTCTTGAATCAGGATGCCGGAGGATGGTCCCATCTCTGCGATCGGGTCGGTCCGTAGCTCTTGGCACAGGAGCAGTACGATCCAGAAACACGCCACATCCTTCTTGGACATCTTTCGACAGTCACGGATCAGGAACTCGTTTCAGACTTATCTACTAATGATTCAAGGTTTGTTAAGCATACAAACTTATAACAGTGTGACATCACTTGGCCTAGGACAACACATTATTACGATTCATCAACATATGTATTCTCTCTAATTCTATTTTTATAACTTCATCCCTCACTACATTTATTACTGACTCTTCAGTAATTTGCCTATAGCAGTTAAACAAGCTAGTAACCTGCTTATAAAATGTAGTTATTGGATGGCAAGGAAATGGTTAATGACATGAACGTACATGAGATCATGGCACATCACAACATTTCACATCATACTATACCACGTGAATCAAGCATTCATCCAGGTTAGTCGTTCACCCTTCTGCGTCTGAATCCACACCTATAATCCTTAATTGAGATTTAGGATGACAAGCACGCAACTGGTTAATGTGAACCCACTTTTCAATAAAATCACCATCCTTAGGAATTTTTATCTTATACGCTACTGGGGAAATTTTGTCAATGATGACATATGGCCCTTTCCAAGAAGGTAAAAATTTCTTTTCCTTGACTTGATTTCGCGCAAAGTTATACAGATAGACTTGATCTGTTATCTCATATTCCTTTTTCGTGGTTTTTAGATCGTAATAGGTCTTAACCCCTGTCGCTGCTTTTTCTAGATTCTTTTGGGCAAAAGCAAACGCATGCTGTAAATGCTTGCGCAAATCTTCGATATACTGATGCGTAGTGGCAGCATTGATCAAGTTATGATCTGAAGTACGATATAGTAAATGCTGTGGTAAAACCATCTTTCTTCCTGTCATCAATTCAAAAGGTGACAATTTGGTAGCAGTGCTAGGTGTAGCTCTAATCGCCATTAAAACTAGGGGCAATTTAATGTCCCAGTCTTTACCAGACTCCTTAACATACTTCTTTAGAATATTAACGATAGACTGGTTATATCGCTCTACCCCCCCGCTAGACGCAGCGCGGTATGCAATATGTAGCTTTCGTTTAACACCTAGAATGTTCCACATCTTAGCCATTACTTCGCTGGTAAAATGACTACCTCTGTCTGACTCAATTCTTTGAGGCAGACCGAACCTGGAAAAGACATGGTTAATCAACAAAGTGGCGCACACGGTACTCGTGTTCTCTTTACAAGGCAAACATTCTATCCACTTTGTGTACATACATGTAACGGTTAACATGTATTTGTTACCTCTTGAAGATCTTGTTACAGGACCTATAAAGTCAATTTGAATATCAGACCAGGGTAATGACACCCCCCTCTTCTGAAGTGGTGCACGATGGGTTGGACCATGGGGTTGATATTGCGGACAAATCAAGCATCCCTGACAGTATGTCTTAACATCCCTTAACATGTGTGGCCAATATGCATAATCACGCAATATCTCATATGTGATCTTATCACCACGATGCCCAGATGTAGGTGCATCATGTGCGTGTTGGAGCATTAACCCTCTGTATACAGTTGGGACTACCCATTGTTGTATACCATGTTTAGAAGTTCTGACCAGCAACCCATCCATGATACTAAATTGGACTTTATATCTCATCAAGATTCGTAAATCTTCATTATCTTTGCAATCCTCATCTGTGATGGGATTGGCAGTAGGGTCTTCTATATGTTTATAGAATATGCCTATGACGGGATCATTCTTTTGACTAGTAATCAGGTCCTCACTAGGAGCTTCTTGACTCCATTGCACGACATTTAAGTCGGCATTATCTCTAGCCTGTCGTCTAGTTATGGCTTCAACATGAATTGAACCCATAAGATCATCAATGTTTAGGGTTTCACCATTGATGGCAGCTTGTTTTGCCAGTGAATCGGCTAAGTCATTACCATCCTTGTCAATACCTTCTATTTTAGAATGGCCTTTGGTTTTCTTCCAATATATGGTTAAACCATTTTCCTTAACCAACTCATCAATTTTACAAAACAATTTCCCATGTTTAACAGGTTTGTTATTGCTTTTCAGCATTTGGTTACGTTTCCAGCTAGGCAGATATTCGACGAAACTGTTGCGAACATAGTTGGAATCAGTTATAATAACAAATTCTTTGATACCATATTCTATTGCCATTTGAATGGTCTTATATACTGCACAGAGTTCGGCTATCTGACTGCTTTTGGGACCAATATTGTATCCTATAGATACATTAGGATAATCACCTGTCCAGGCGATTCCGATACCTGCAACTAACTTCCGTTCAGCACCAGCGACGTGGTGATATGAACAACCATCAATGTATACCCACGGTAGTGGTCGACAGTATTCCTCGTCATAAACTTTATAAGGAGATAGCAATTGCTCTTCTAGGAAGTCATCTCCGGTGTCATTATCATCCAGAGATGGAGCAGTACAGTCATGTAATTCTGCTAAACCTTGGGCAACTGGGCTTCTCTTATTATGTTTATAACGGACTTCTAACGGC